GAAGAACGTTGCATTGCCCTCTATATTATTTCTAGGTAAAAAATTGTTGAAAGCTATGTTGTTCAGGTTGGGATACACTCTGATTAACTTATTAATCGGATTTTCATTCAAGCACCTTGTGGTAAACGACATTTTTCGTTTTTTGGTCAGGTGCAAGAGCAAATAATACGGATGGTTTGCCGACACGTGAGCATGCCACGTACAATTGATCATGAGAAAAACACGCATTTTCTAGATTGAGGCCACAAATAGTCAAATAGGCCCGGTGATTTGTTGATCGTCATGGCGAAGGCAAGACGAATCGGGAATTGAATTCGATTAAACTCAAAGGGTATATCTTTTGGGATCATCGGAATCTTTGGAACAAGAACTTCCTCATCTTTAAATTTTCCTTTGAGTATCDACGCGTGAATCACATTGCTCATCAGTTTTCTTATCACCAAACGCGTTCCATTTCACAGTTTTGGTTGGTTTAAACTTCAAAGCATGATAACTAGCAAGCCAACCTTCAGTTGTAAATTGAGCGGCGATAAACCAGGCACATCCAAGGAGCTCAAAAATTCAATTGGATAATTAGTGGCTTCTTCTTCGTTTGTTACACAGTCGATAGATTTAAATGAATACAGAGTACCTACGATTTGATTTTGAATTATAAAAATGAGGTCATCTACATCTTTATTTTTAGTCGCCGAAATTGCTCGCTCACTTAATCATTTAGTATTTTTGTAGCAATGATGTGCGGAAATACTTTGTTGATAAGCTCATCTTTTGATGAGACGAAATTGCAAAAATTTGGAGGAAATGAAATTAAAAACGCTCGATTCGTCAACAAAAACGCGGCCATTGCCGATATTCAGCAATTGCTTCGAGAAATCATCAGCAGATAGATCGTTCAACAATGCAACTCTTGAAGTTTGTTTACATATCGCCACAGATTTGATGCTTTGAGGCAAGCGTTCATTTCGCCGGCAGCAGTAGATCTTGAAATTACTGGTAGTGTTCGTCGGAATTCACCAGGTAATAAAATCATTGAACCACCAAAACATCTCGAGTCATTCCGCAGATCTTTTAATGTTCGGTCTAGTGCTGCACGACAAACGTTGCTTTGCCCTATCCATTATTTCTAAGGAATATTTTGTACTTAAATACAAAATAACTCATTAACTAACTAAATGTGCGGGGATGCAGTAAATATAAAATTCTCGTGTCGAGCTGTTTGTTGCCAAACTCCTTCGAAACGGTTCGACCGATTCTCACGAAATTTTGTGTGCAGGTCGGGTGAATCTGAACAAATCAGTCTGCTCATTGAACAGAGCATCCAGCTCGCTGACGATGCGCGTTGTAAAAGGTGAATTGAGGTGACAATAGTTCCAACGTGCATCCACGCGATTGGCGAGTGCGCGTTCGGCGTCCTCGCCACCCATAAAGTAAATTTGTAATAATTTATAAGGTTCGTTTGGCATTGGTAGCAATGAACCGACTTTGTGGTAAATTTGGCCTTTGATTTTGAATGTGAAATTAAATTGTTGACCATTGCAGCAGTATTTTTAACTATTTCCGTTGCTCCAAACGATGTTATTTGAAAACATGAATTGAATTTTCGCATTGACTGCAAGAACAGCGAAGAATCTGGATCAGTACCAATAAGGATGCCGTGCAGTGGTTCAATTTCTGGGAGTTTTACTTTTCCTGATGAGCAACACATCCCGATCGGCTCATTTTTAAATTTATGGGCCTGGCAATGCGGGCATTCCTTGTGCAATGTACCAATGACCACTTTGGAATGAGCGTAATATTCAACATCAGGTTCATACTAAAATGCTAGGCCAAGAAATGAATGTGATGTAAAGAAATGAATGTGATGTACCTATCTCTTCTCTCTCTCTCTCTCTCCCCATACATGGTCTTTCAAATCATCTAACTCTGCAGCGCACAAAAATTTAAATTTGTTCGCGACTATCCCAGCTCATGAAGGATATACCGAAATCATAAAAGCGTTTGTGTTCATGCAAAATGTTTGCGTTTTCAGCGTTGATTGTTCTAGAGTATGAAAGCGTTGAGAATCATAAAGAATATTATTCGCGACGGACATGCACACACACACTTGTAGTCTCTGGAAACATGTATAAGCATTTGTGCTTTTAATAGGAAATCAGGGTATAATGGTTTTGTTGAAATGTAAGTAACAGGCAGAGCGACGAGCTGAGTTGATTTAGTCCTGTCCGTCCGACCGTCTGTCCGTATGTTTGAACGCGTCGATTTCAGAAGAGCTAGAGACCTCAAAGTTTGTTCAAATGTCGCAGAATTGAGCGAAGACGAGCTTTCCTAGGATAAGGGAGTGCAAAGTGCTTGCAAAGCAATGCTTTACGGCCGTCCCGCAAGCATCGTGCGCTACTTTTTGCCAGTTCTTAGAACGAGTTGAAGGTAACGTAACTGCAAAATTTGGATGATTACGCTCAAAAATTGTAAAAACTACACGGTATTTCTCGATATGCCACGCCCCTAAAAAGGCGTAACAATTATTTTTTGGCTCATCTACCTCTTAAACTGTAGGAGTTTTAAATTTTTGCGGTTTGTCATTTCACTTTCGTGAATGTATATATGGGTTCTTCATATGAGAAGATGCTCATTTCGTTTTAAATGCAGGACCTGGAAGCATATAACGTAAAAATGGAGTACGCCACAAATGGAGTACGCCTTGCTTAGTAATTTTGCTTCGTTAAAAAGTTCTTATACATATATTTTAGAGTTTAATAAAGTTACTTTAGTAAAATATATTTATTTAATTTTTTATTTTAATTTCCGATTTGCTTTTAGAGCACATTACAGGTTTTTTGTATATTGATCATAGAGCCCGACGGACATTTAAAAACTTCTGTCGCACTGCCTCCTTGTGCAATGAGCCAACCCAATCTGAAATGTACAAAAGCCATTAGTAATATATCCAGATTAAATACATACATACTTTTATTTTTTTTAATTTGAGTCTATAATTTATGTTACTTATATTTTTTCTTACCATTAAATGAGAAAATTAAGTTTTATTTGTTGTCAATAGAAAAAAAATTGATTTTAAATAATAAACAATAAACCTCCGAATGTACTAATGTTCTAATGAAATAGGCTTTGATACCGAAGCTATAATAAGCATATGCTAGTGCTCTAGTAAGGAGTGGTGGGTTAGAGATATTCTGCCCAGCGACTATATCCCAATTTTAGGCATTAATATACATTGTGAAACAATGCATGAACATACACATGACATACACGTACCATGTGAACATGGTATACTATGTATTGTATTGTACATACATATTTACAAATTCGCTGAGTTCAACCGGATAGAAAGACATACAGAATGAGACGCTATACTTACATGTGGTCAAACTCTGTTGCGTTAGTATCGATTCCTAGATAATTTGATTCAGAACACAGCTCTTGCGCAGAAACTAAAAAAAAAATTTGCGTTGGTGTCAAATTCAACCCGGGAAGTCGTGCCATTCCTTTGATTGGACCAGTGAGTGAAAGCATGGAATGGTATGAAATTTGCATTCCTCCAGAATGAATTAATATATCCATGCGACTAAAGTTTGAAAATATATTGACGGAATGCGGAACGCAACGCATTGCCTTATCATCAAAGCTTTTTGTTATTGAACGTAAAATTTCCTTGGCGATTGAAACGCCAACTGAAGCATAATGCAGATATGGAGGCAATCGTGCATTAAAATATGGTATTAGTATGACCGACAAAGGAACAACTGTGAATGTAAAATTTTAAAATTATAGATTATAAATTTTTACCGTCGCAGCATTTACTACGCACCAATTGAATGGCTTAATGTATCATAGAATATGGTCGACACAATAGGGTATGCCCATCTAAAATTTAAAAAAATCCGTAACTTAATTTTGTTGTGTTTATACACACTTTACACTTACGCATCATGGGAGCTAAAGTCCATATTTATTTTATTCGGTACGATTTTATTCGTTTTATATATCTCTAAAATATTTTGAAGCCAATTATCCGGCGTGATTTGAAGGCGTTCCACTGATTTTGTTAAATGGGTTACGTTCGTGAATCCTTCCCATGTCTTTGATTGAATTTTTAATGCTGACAGCTTTACAAGCGCAGCGCCTTTTAGAGAAGGAGCTCGTTTTAGGTGAGCTTTGAGCGATTTGAAGATTATATCTGCCTAAAATCATAAGCTTAGATATCACTATCATCATATAATTGGAGAGATATAAAAGTCTGTACCCGTTTTATTATGTCTTTTGAATCAATTGACGAATATTGCGAAATATACAGTGCTGAGGCTAATTCTGGTAAAGCCCACATACTAGAGCGTGTGCACACCTCAGGAGTTGGAAAATCTTTTGGTAAAATTTCCAGTACACTTAACAATAGCATAGCGTTGTGTGCGATTCGAGATGGATATTTTGTAAGAAATGATTGCAGCGCCTTTAGATAATCTGCATTTCTTACAACTATTGGACCACTCCAGTTCTTTGGGATTAATAAGGTCCAGTTTAGCTGAAACATTGTCATTCAAATTAGTAAGCAAACAGATTAATCAACTATTTTAGAATGTTAACAAATTAATAATTACAACTTTACTAGGCAATTAGATAATACAAAAATATGAAGGTCAGTGTATTGGCCTCTAAATTAAAATTTACTGTCTCTATGGTACTTTATAAATGAATATTTGAATATGTGTCAGATTGCAAATCAAATATTTTTATCAAATTTAAATCAAACCTTATAAACTTCGTTCAAAAGATATATCCTCTATTTTAATATCTTTGATGCGATATAAAATTATAAATTCAAAACAAATTCGAAAATTGTTTATAATGAAAAGATTACTTACAACTGGGTACATCGAATGTAAACTAGAAATATTGTACAAAACAGAGCTATCCCAAAATCCACGTCGTGATTGCTCAACTTGAAGCTAAAAACCAAAATACATATATATAATATATATATACAAAAAACATAAATATAAATTGAATTTGGTGGTACATTATATTCATTTTTTTTTCTTATTCAATAAACAGGAATCATTAGGATCCTTGACTTCCTTAAAAGAAAGAACTAAAAGCGATTGGGGGAATTTTGATACTTCATCAGAATCGGATACCCACGATAATATATACTCAAGGCAAAAAACGAAAATACTCAACGTTTATATCTATTCACCTGAAATAGATATTACCAGAGAAATTAAATTATATACTATTTAAATTAGATGGACATGTAATGTATTACCTTGTTAAGATCCTTTATAAATTCTATAATTGTGTCTTTCTCAGACACACGTTGAGCATATGATAAGTGACTTGGTAAAACATGATCAATTAAATCTGGCAAGAGATTTGGTATTCCTTGTCGTAAGCGATTGGGAGGTGCCTTGGGGCTCATCCAACGAATTTTATTCTAGAAATTTAATATTGGTTCCATTAAATAATAACAATACAAAGCAGATTGAGAATGATTTTTATACCCTGAGCCCATTCAAAATCAGAGTATAATGGTTTTGTTGAAATGTATGTAACAGGCAGAAGGAGGCGTGGCAGACCCCATAAAGTATACATATGTCGGCGCGTGCAGTTCGTGCTGTGTGTGTGTGTGTGTGTGTGAGGCAAGACTGTTATTTCATCATAATGTGCATCAGCCTTTATTTGAGATGCGATTGGCTGATGACATTTTGTAGTTTTGGAAAGTACCGTTTTAGCGCGGCGACAACGCCGTGACGCGTGAGCGTGGTTCGATGGTAGGCACAAAAGAATAAGTGTGCGATGCAAGTCAGTTCTACGCTAGACTTCGGCCACTGAAACTCGCTGCGCGATTAGAAAATGGAACAGTTTAATGGCGACGAGCTGAGTCGACTTAGCCCTGTCCGTCTGTCTGTCCGTCCGTATGCTTGAACGCGTCGATTTCAGAAGATATAAGACTTAGAGACTACACTCGAAGTTTTTTTTTAAATGACCGTATACAGAGCGCGGATATCGAATTTGGTTTAAAAATTCGATAAATCATCCCGTTATACTATTATCGAATAAAAACATTCAAATTCAAGTCAGATGCCAGTATAGCTAATTGTGAATGATTTTTAATTTTTTTGTAATTTGTCATTTATTGAATAGAATATGTAGATCATATGCTGAAAGTTTCATTAAATCCCGTTAAGTCTATCGACGTTAAAAAGTAATAAAATGTTTGGCCAATTAACAAACGCACGTGCACCAGCTACAACAGTTTCGTATACATGTGCATATTCTTCTTGGAATCACATCAGCTGTTAGTTTGGTTTAGTTCTGCTAGGTGGCGCTGCAGCAGTGAACCTATTTCAGTTTTTCCAGCGCAGCTTCCAAAAGTTAGGTGGCGTAGTGAGTAGCGGCGTGGCGCTCGATAAGTAGGGGTTTCGAATCCCGAGCGGCGCAACTGATGTTAATTTTATTAGTTTGGTTATTTTAGCAGATTCTTAGAATCACATCAGCAGTTAGTTTGGTTTAGTTTTGCTAGATGGCGCTGCAGCAGTGAACCTATTTCAGTTTTGCCAACGCAGCTTGTAACAGTGAGGTGGTCTAGGGATTAGGGGGACGCTCGATCGAGAAGTCACGGATTCGAACTCCAACCGCGCAACTGATGTTATTTTTTTATACCCTGAACCCATTTTCAATAGGAAATCAGGGTATAATGGTTTTGTTGAAATGTATGTAACAGGCAGAAGGAGGCGTGACAGACCCCACAAAGTGCATATATTCTTGATCAGGGCAACGAGCTGAGTTGATTTGACCCTGTCCGTCTGTCTGTCCGTCCGTCTGTCCGTATGTATGAACGCGTCAATTTCAGAAGATATAAGAGCTAGAGACTTCAAATTTTTTTTAAATGTCCGTAATTACAGCGCGGATATCGAGTTTATCATTAAAAATCGATAACTCATACCGATTTTTTATCGATAAAAACCTTATCGAAAACCAGTTATAAAATTATATCTCCTACACCTTTATTGCTAGAGTCTCCAAATTTTTGATGTATGCTAATATGCATATAAATTAAAACACCCACATTTTAAATATACTTTGCGATGTGTGTCTCTTGTGTGCTAAGTGGAGATTTACTTCTGCTGTGGGAACTAGTTGACACAAATTGGAAAATGAATTAAAGAATACAACGTACTGTATGATATACATACCTCTAATATAACTGATGAAGTACTTGGTCCGCTTATGATAAGAAGAACATGTGGTCTTCTTCCATAACTTAGATCATAATATATATCAACAAGTGGACTGGGACCAAGCTCATAGATTTNAAACTTTGCTTAATGCATATAGCTCGGGATCAGTGAGCTGCTTCTCTTTCCAAAATTGTAAAATGTTTGCATCACTTCTGACAAAGGAAAACTGCAAATTTTCAATTTTCGCGTGTACATCGGTTGTGCTACTAGCCTKGACTTCAATATCCTGTGTTAAATATTCATTTAACAATTCATCTTCAATGTCATAAAAGTCAACGTTGGAATGATAGGAAGTTGAATTAGTTGTAAAGCCCGCAACAACGCCTTGATTGACCTCAACTATCCGATCCCATAAAGATTTCAAATATTTTACAGCTTCATTTCTTTCTATTGATGAAATGGTATGATGAAACCGAGGATCCAAGTAGAAACAGGTAACTAACATTGCGCATTAAAGTATTTGTACGTTTTCTAAAGGATTCCAATATTTTTTCACCAATTTGTTTCGTAAGTGGCTGGATCGCATCTTGTATAATTTTTTGAGTGCATAATTTGCACTTTAGCCACTGCGCATAAAAATTACCATTATGTAATTGCTCCTGTTGAAATATTTTAAAAGTTTTTTGTGGCGGATTAAAAATGAGAGTGTAATTATCAATGAACTCCCAAAAGGAGTCGTCAATTTCGAAATTCTCATCCGCGGACTTATTGCTGCTTTTAAATTTTCAATCATTGTGTACGTTGAACCCCATCTAGTTGGGCAGTCCAGTTTAGGCATCTTCAGTTTTTTAAATTAAAAATTTTCACGAAATCCGTTAGATGGTTTTCGAATATATTTCGTCAAATTACGACAAGTGAATAAGTATTTTGTGATGGCTGAAAATTTAGTCACATCTAGAGCGCAAAGCTGCGCAGTATGAGCAGCACAGCGACAAACTTGAATATTGCCCAATGTCATCTCTGGCATTTCTTCTATGAGATCGATTTTTTTTTTAAGTATTCATCATTACTGTAAACTTCATTTTCTTCGATTTCTTCTTCAGACACAACAGACAATATTTTCGTTGCTTTAAGGCTTAAAGTTTAAGCATATTCGCGCCATTATCAGACGTAACTGATACTATCTGCTTTAGATTTACTTCATATTTTGTTAATATTTTAATAATTTCCATAGCGAGGTTTTTGCTTGTGCTACATCCGACACCTTTTAGTTCGACCATCCCTTAAATACGGGATTTTATTTCCAGTTCGCTAATAAATTGCGCACTTATTCCAAAAATGTTTCGAGATAGCCGCGAAGCACTGTCAATTTTAAGTGAATAGAGTGAATAGAAGAGTTTTCCGACAGTTCGGAAGGAGGAGCCGTTTTCAAATGATGTACATTGACAACATGAGCTTTTAAATTTGAAATTCGATTGGTCTTAAGTTTGCTCTTGCATGTTTTACATGTAGCAAAGTCCCCTTCCTCATTGGTATCAAAATACTTCCAAACATCACATTGTTTATTACGCGACATTTTTGCTGTTGCTCGGATGCACATTAATACAAGACTACACCTACGATTTATTTCATTGCTACAAAGTATGCCGCAAGTGACTTCGGCAATTACAGTTACAAAATTTACCAAAACAAAGCAAAGAAAAGACTGTGGAAGCTGACTGCTGTGCTGTTCGGCAGTCGACAGTTTTTGCTCTAGCTGCGACTGCGACTGTCGCCAGTGAACGCAGTTCGAAGCGCTGCGCTGCTGATCAAGAATTGTTTTTCGCTTTTGCTGCGACTGCGACTGTCGAAAATGCTCGCAGCAACAGTTCTAGCAATAACAGAACTGCGAAAACTGTTGGCTGCAGAAGCACAGCACAGACAAAATTTTACGACTGTTGCTGCTGTGACTGTCAGCTTTTCAAACACTGTTTAAAAATATAAATAAAATACCAAACTCATTTAATAAAATAAAAAAAATATTTTGAAACAATTAAAAAAGTTAACATCAGTTGCACCAATCGGGATTCGAGCTGCGACTTCTCGAACGAGCGTCATGCAGCTAACACACTACGCCACTTACTTCTGCAAATGGCGCTGGCAAAACTCAAATAGATTCACTGCTGCAGCGCCATCTACCAAAACTAAACGAAACTAACAGCTGATTAGTCGCGAACGAAGAATAATGCAGGTATTTCCGAGGAAAACCTTAAAACCTTGTAAAATGCACCTCTATGAGCAATTTACAACTAAATTAACAAAAAATAAAAAACTTATTCACTCAAACAAGAAAGCCAGATCGGAAAGATCATTCAAAAACAAGTAAGAAAGCTCTAGTCGAGACTGCTCGACTACGAGATCCCCTGAACCCTTGGAGCAATAGATANGACTTCAATATCCTGTGTTAAATATTCATTTAACAATTCATCTTCAATGTCATAAAAGTCAACGTTGGAATGATAGGAAGTTGAATTAGTGGTAAAGCCCGCAACAACGCCTTAATTGACCTCAACTATCTGATCCCATAAAGATTTCAAATATTTTACAGCTTCATTTCTTTCTATTGATGAAATGGTATGATGAAACCGAGGATCCAAGTATAAACAGGCAACTAAACTATCATTGCGCATCAAAGTATTTGTACGTTTTCTAAAAGATTCCAATATTTTTTCACCAATTTGTTTCGTAAGTGGCTGGGTCGCATCTTGTATAATTTTTTGAGTGCATAATTTGCATTTTAGCCACTGCGCATAAAAATTACCATAATGTAATTGCTCCTGTTGAAATATTTTAATAGTTTTTTGTAGCGGATTAAAAATGAGAGTCTAATTATCAATGAACTCCCAAAAGGAGTCGTCAATTTCGAAATTCTCATCCGCGGACTTATTTTTAATTGATTCAATTTTCATTAGCACGTCTTTTTCTGCTTTTAAATTTTCAATCATTGTGTACGTTGAACCCCATCTAGTTGGGCAATCCAGTTGAGGCATCTTCAGTTTTTATACCCTGAACCCATTTTCAATGCGAAATCATGGTATAATGGTTTTGTTGAAATGTATGTAACAGGCTGAGTCGATTTGGCCCTGTCCATCTGTCTGTCCGTCCGTCTGTCCGTATGTATGAACGCGTCGATTTCACAAGATATAAGAGCTAGAGAATTCAATTTTTTAAATGTCCGTAATTACAGCGCAGATATCGAGTTTATCATCGATAACTCATCCCAATCTTTTTTATCGATAAAAAGCCTTATCGAAAACCAGTTATAAAATTATATCTTCCACACCTTTATTGCTAGAGTCTCCAAATGTATGCTTATATCACTGACCAGAGAACACATAGACTAGACATGTAGAGCAWCGTTTTTCCACGCCGCAAAATCTGTGTGGCAGGTCCCGGCCAACTTCGTATTCGCTCGGCTTGGTATTGGCTGGCTCGGGTAATGAAAGATAGCACGACGAAATCAGTGCGCTCTAAGCACGCAAACGAAATGGTCATGNATAATCATAATCTGAAAGTTTCGTGAAGATCGTACGTCCACAAAAAAAGTTATTAAACAATTAAGTTCTCATAGTAAGCGCACACTGCAGCCCATGCGTGTTTATGCGTGGGTGCTTGTGTGTGTATGTGTTTGTGTATGTGTGTATGTGTTTGTGTATGTGTGTGTGTATGTAAGTGTGTGTATGCGTGTGTGTGTGTGTATACCTGTGTGTGCGTACGTGCGTGTGAAAGACGCGAAAAATTATTGAAATAGCTAACACTCCAAGGGTTCAGGGGATCTCGTAGTCGAGCAGTCTCGACTAGAGCTTTCTTACTTGTTTATCTTATATTACATTCTATTTCATATTTACCTATTACTGCTGTGAAAATTATGAATGAATCTATTTTTAAGTTGCTTTAAATATTGGTTTTTGTTTTTATATAGATATACAAAAGTTATAAATAATAGCTGTAAATGAAGTCAGAAACATTTTTTAGTACCGTTCTGTAAATGCAGACTTTAAGAAAAAATAGAGTAAATTGTGATGATTTTAAATTTTTGATAGTACTATCGATAATATCGATCGTTTTCACTATCGGATGTGAAAAGATCGATGGCCTCACGTTCGATAGTTTTGCATCCCTAGGGCTTGGTATCCAAAATCTGCAACTTTCAAATTCGTATCGATCAACTGTACATACACAGTAACTGTATATACACAGTAAAAAAAAAAAATCTAGTTCTAAAAGTGTTCAAATTAGGCTGAAAAAAGAAAAAAAAAATTCGATTATTCTCGATAAACAAGTTATCGGATGAGTTATCGAAAAAATATGACTTGTACTGCGTATGGTACACACGAGTATGCACGTCAAATTTCAGCTCGCTAGCTCTTAAAATTTCTGAGATCAATGCACTCATACGGACGGACGGACAAACGGACAAGGCTATATCGAGTCAGCTCGTCGGGCTGATCAAGAATATATATACTTTATGGGGTCTGCGATGACTCCAGCCCCTTAGATACTTCTCACAAAACCATTATACCCTGATTTCCCATTTTCAATAGGTTCAGGGTATAATGATCGATATATGTATCTAATTTTTATTAATTCGAACGAGACCGAGTCAAAAATAAGGTCAAGAATTTTGTTATATCTTATATATACATACATATATCCTTTCCAGCTATACCAGCTTATGGTGCTCTAGAATAAATGGCAACACTGTAAACAATGCGCGCGCAAATACTATGTTTATCGATGGAGTCACACCCACATGCAACGACTATAAAATACCCTTTATGAAACATAAATTTATAATTTGATTATGTTTAATGTATTTTATAAACATGTTTATCAATAAAATAAAAAACAAAAGTGATACATTTAATGTAACAGTTAATTTTAAATACCCTTTACATATTATCATAACAATTATATTAACACTCAAATTTGGTGTACTTAAAATATATAAATATATATATATCATTTACACTTTTAATAATTATATCAGTTTTATATCATACAGTAATTATGAACAAATTTTTAGTGTATCACCACTAAATAGGCATCATACAAAGTGTCTTAAAACCAACTATTCCTCGCTTTTGTCTTTTAAAGGGTAGAGAAACAATTGTGGAAAAGAACTGTACAAAGTATCGTTTGTTCTTATCAGAGCGGAAAATTGTCCTGTTAAATTTATTCCTTAGTCGACTTTTATATCCTAAATAAGTATAAATATACTTATAAGTGCAAGATTTATTTTAATCAACGCTAAAAATCTATTTAAATCAAGTAAGTTACAAAAATTGAAAAATATTCTTAATTACACGATGGGTAAAAATAATAGATAAATGTAGGTGAATGTTCGATTTTCATTTAATATAATTTTTTATATTAAACAATCGTATTCTTATCTTCAATTATATTTATTAAATATGCATACAGTCATTCTAAAAAGTGCGCAGAATCAATAACAATATCATTCGTTTAATTACATACATACATAGATAATTTTCAACCCTAAAATCAATATTATTTTCCTATTTTTTATATTCTATTTAATATTGTCGACTTATAAAAATTTTTAGATTTACCTACATATGTACGAAATACATCCACTACAGTAATACATATGTATGTATGTATGGACATACATTCCTGTATACACACATTCCTGTATACACACATTCCTGTATACATACATACAAATGTACATACATATATACAATGATATTTATTTATTTATTTATTTATCTTAGAGTTAGAGTTAATTAAAATTAAAACTAACTTAAATTTTTAAAGCGCTGGCTGCATGGGCCTTCGGCTTATCGGATTAAGAATATTTTAACATTTTTTAACATA